CTACATTTAGCTCCGTATCTTTGAAATGGCTAGACTTGCCTTTGCCAAAAACTAACCACCACTTCTCCCGATCATTACAAATTGAATGTTTTTTGGATCATTCACATGAGATCTCAAAAACTCGATTTCTATTTTCTGCACTCTTTGCTCCATATCTCCTTAACGGCTGGACCTGTCTTAGCCAAAATCTAATCAGCACATCTCCCTATCATTAATAATCGAATGTTTTTGGAACCATTCAAATCGGTTGATCCGTGCGCCCGAAAACGTGGACGAAAAATTGCGGACACATAAAACACACACACACATATCCATTTTTTCGAAGGTATGCCAAAATGTTCAGAAACCTCTGAAACGTGAAAATATGCAAAAAGTATCATTTTTGATTTTTGGCCCATTACTATAACTTGCCCTACGGGAAGTTAATAAATCATAATTTATTTGAAAAAGTTTTAAAACTTAAAATACTATTTTACTTTCACGTTTCAGAAGGATACGCTTATATTTTTGCAAGAAAATACTATTTGCTTAATTTTTGTCGTTTCATGCCATTCCAAATCGTTTGACGCAAAAAAATAATTGTGTATGTGAACTAAAATTTGACTTTTTTTGGACGTTTTCCCAAAAACGGCTACAGCGATACTAAAAATTTGATAAAACTCGACAAGAACGAGTCTTAGTTTTGCCACACAATCGGCCGAGCCGTTTCTTTTAGCCCATAATTTTTTAACGATTTTGAAAATTCAAAAGCTGTTTGATAGATATTGGTTGGGAATCGTGTCGATTAGTTTTTGGTAAAGAACAGTCGGACAGTTTCTTCGTATATTAAATGTAATTAACGCTTTCCACTCGGATGCTTCCGCTCTGGCGCCAAATACATATGAATTTCGAAATTTGCAAGTGGGAAGGGTTAAAATTTATATAACGATAGATTTTATAATCTGATATAGCATACTAAAACATACTAAAATATTATAGACTAACGATTTCGCTGCGAGCTTAAGCAATTCTAATCAGAATCTTTGTTTTCTGTGCATATGTTCCGTGTTTTGTACGTAGCTACTGATTACAGTTGACGTCTGTACTTGTAAAAAATACATTTTTAGAATCCAAAAACATGAAATGGAATGTGTAAAATAAGTTAATTAATTTGTACAATTTTAGATATTATAAATATATTTGAAAGACATCACATGGAAATTGTATTGATTATTTTTCAGTAAAAGGGAAAACGTTATTTTCGAACTAAACAATTCAAAATTGTATTCTGAGAAATGAACTATGAGAATAAACCATGAAATTGTGAAGAGATGAAAATAATAAAAATATGAATAATCTAAATTTTTCTCTTCATCTTCATTAATTATTTTACCAAACTATGCCCCGAAATGAGTTTTTCGAGTGAGCTCAACGCCAAAACCGATCCCACTTCATCAACTCAAAAAGAATATGTTAACGCGTCAGAAATCTTGAGGCAAATCTAATTTGCAAAACAAAATCCGAAAGCTCGGCGCGGAGCTTTTATTCAAAGGTCGCCTCCGTAATTGGATCTAATGAACTCCGGGCTTTCATCCCCTTCCGGACTTTTACAACCCGGTTGTAATTAAAAACGTGTGTGCAGGTGCATGCGTTTTTAGCTATTCGTAATAAAATATTGTTTGTTCGGTATTAAATCTTCGATGTGTGTGCGAAATTATTAAGTGCCAGTAAATATTTGTTCGTTTAATTAGCGGGAGATTTATTGCGGATAATGATGTTTTGGGAATTAGCGCAGTTAAATAATATATAGTCGAAAATTATGAAAAACGTATGCAGTCGTTAAAATGGTAATAAATAAAATGGTAAACATAAAATGATAAATTTAATTAAAAAAATTATGTGTGTGTACAGGATGTGTCATAACTCAACGTCAGCCGATACAGGGTTCTGGAAAAAAAATCTGTTTGAAAATTGTGCAACAAAGAGCTTTGGTGAAACTGTAACCATTTTTCGGTCATTGTGATTAACTTTGTTTATTTGAACCTTAGATCCGCAATCTCTTCTACTTATTCGATTGACTCAAGTTTTGACAAGTTAAGACTTTTTATTGGACTATGAGTTTAAAGTTTTCAAAATTGGTTTCAAAAAACTCTAGTCACCTCTTGACGTTGAGTTCTGGGACAATCTGTATATTAGAGTATTTGATTTGTATATGTTGTGCTGATTATTTTTTCTATTTTAGAACATCGTGGTATAGTTTCTCCAAGCATAGTAGAACACACGTCGTCAGTCCAGGTGGCGCAGGATGAAGGTGCCGTTTTACTCTGCGTGGCCCAAGGGTGCCCAACACCTGAATACAGGTATGAAGTAGTAATTCGTTTTCAAATTAAACAATAAATTTGAATTTTGTCTTGAGGCAAGTGCTATGAACTACACGATATGTGCTATTATCGACTTTCTACCAAAATCAAAATTTAGCTAGAACCAAAACAGTCTTCTGGTTGGAATCAAACTAGAACGAAATTAGACTCAAGTGGGACGCAAGTTAGCTAGTAGTAAGAACCTGCTCAGAGTCAAATAAGAATCTAGCATGCGACTTGTTGGAATCCAGTTAGAACCTAGTTAGATCAAGAACAAAAATATAATAGTCAGGCTCCAACCAAAATCAAATTTTAATTTAGTTACAATTCAGTCAGAATACAAACAGAATCAAATAGGAATAGAGTAGCAATTTAGGGACCGATTGTGCCATGAAATAAACCAATGTCATGGTAAGGATATGTTATGTAGCAGTTTTCATATAAAGTGGTACTAAGAACTAAGAACTGTCAAAGTCCCATGTGCTTGCTGCGTGCAGTCAGTCGTTTTAGATAGAAAACCTAACCTTGAAAACACATAAATGTCAAAAAAACAATGATATCATAACTGCATCTTTGAGATATGGCACGATAACATATGAGTGAAGTTGTATTTAAAGTGTAAAACACCTGAACGCACAGCAAAAATGTGGTATTTTGAAAGTACTTAGTAGCATTTTGTATGAAGCCTCGAAATTAATACAGCCTTGGTATAATATTGGTCTATTTTGCGGCTGAATCGGCCCAATAGTTAGAACCCTAGCAATATTGAGTAAGAATCTAGTTGAGATTCGTTTAAAATTGAATTAGTATCTGGTTTGGTTACAATATCGTTAGTATTGGGTCGGTAGAAGTTAGAAGTCAGATCGGTAGATGTTAGAAGTTAGATCGGTAGAAGTTAGGGTCATTAGTCACTTGAATCTGGTTGGAAT